TTACAAGAACCAAATGGAGAAGAAATTGATCGAGATTTTGATTTGGGTTTCGGACGGCGCTTCTTATCTGGGTTCTGTTTGGATGGTGAGAAAATTGCGCTTTCCGGAGAGGAGTTCGAGGAATTCGAAGGAGATGAAACTGAACCATGTTTCGGTTTCGCCTTTGAGCCTTTTTTCCCCTTTCTTAATGAAAATTCCGACGGATTCAAAGGAGATGAGACAGACCCAGATACTGATTTGGGATCGGAACCCATTTTCTCATCTGGGTTCTGTTTGGACGGTGAGAAAATCTCAGAGTCTTCATCTGAAACTGGCTCTGCCTTACCTTCAATCGAGCTACGGCGAGCTGAACCAGTTACTGGAGCTGTGCTTTTGTGCTTAGTGACTGGGAACGATTTGAGTTTCCGAAAGCGGCATTCGAGCTCAGTGGGGAGTTCAGAATCGGTGAAACCAGAGCAGTTGATGGCAGAAACTTGCTCAAGAACACAGAGCTCTTGTGCTTGAGATATAAGTTCTTCTACAGCTGATTCGTCGGTATCAGAGAGATAGGAGAAATCCACCATTGTTGGCTCTGAGGAAGCTTTCACTGCTTAGACAGCAGAAAAAAACAAAGGCCTAACGGCTAATAGTGATTAGTGAGGGGGCTTGCTCACGCTTTCCGCATTTTGTGGTTACACTTTCAACTTGTGGGTCGCATTTTCGTTCTTTCTGTTACACTTTCAACGTGTGGGTCGCATTTTCGTTCTTTCTGTGGGCCCACTTAGATTTCTACTCCCATCTTCGGCTCCAGTGGGCCCCCGAATCAGGACAAAGTTCCTATCCCAATAGTCAATAGACGACCGCGCCATCTCCTAAACACACTGCAGATGTTTATATGTTGGCCTAATTTGCGGTTCAATGAGAGCCGTCAGATTGATATGAATGGCTAAACATTATAATTTATATCCGAGCTTACAGTACAAATGGGTGAAAAATACTTTCCGTCTTCTTTGCAGTTCTTCTCTCCTACCCATTTAATTTTGGCTAAACTGTCATTTTGTCTCTTGAGAAGCTACTTGATTTTTGGGTGTTAGACACAATAAATTTGCAAGTTGTTGCTTTTTGGGTAAGTGGTTAAGAGCATTCATAATGGATTTCCTAAATCATCTCCTTAGATAAAATTTAGGGCTTCTTAGATCTAGGTCCAAAACGATTAGCTGTCATTGAGTTTAATCCTCGCATTTTTGGTTTTAGATGTAGGTCCTTTGACATTTATTACTTTTTTTGTTGTGTCGATTTTACCCTTTGAGGTAAATAAGAAAAATACATTGAAAATCTAAATTTAATGCATTATTTCCTTGCAATTGAATTTCAGAATTTAAATTTTGAATTTTTTCCTTGATTATTTTCCTAATATATGGATAAAATAAAGATCCACATATTATACCAATCGATCATACAAGCACTTAATTAAATTATGTACCTAACATACAGGTAAATATTGTTATTATTAGCAATGAAAATACTTAATCATAAATCATGTTACCTATAAGTTAGGAACATAAATTAGAAGACTACTTATAAGTCAAATACAAAAATAGACAAAATAAAATTGTATGTTACCTATAAAAAAAAAAGGTACATAAAATACTATTACACTTTGTCGAAAATATGAAACAACATATATATACCTATGCAATAGGCAATATGACATAAATGATTACTACCCGATTGAAGTCATAAAAGGCAATATTGGAACAAAAAATGATTTTAAAAATTAAATAATAAAAAGATTACATCAAAAAGTATTTTAAAATGAATGTAATTCTATATGACACAAAAGTCAAAGGACTTGGATCAAAGTCACCGAATCTGAGGATTAAACCCAACTCCTCAATAGAAATTTGGATCTATATCAACTTTTCTGTAAAATTTAGGGAGGAAGTGAGAAAACCCACCTCCAGCCATGCTCCTACCCAACTTCTAAAATAGGGAGATTTCTAGGAGCTACTAAATCTGAGGAGAGAGAAAGGACTCCTAGTGACTCTCTATAATTAAATGTTGCGTTACTTTAATGTTATTTTAAGTATTTATTTAATGCTAACTATTTTCTTTATTTATTTTTATATGAAGATGAAGTATTTATACTAAATTAAAAAAAGAAATAAATCATTTAAGATTCGCTAAACTAAGGAGCATGGTTGGAGTTGAAAATTTATAAGGAGTTCCTAAAGTAACTTAATAGTGTTTTTAGCTAAATTTTAACTAAAAAATTAAGGAGCATGATTGTGGATGCCTCCGTTTCCAAATCCGAATCCGAATCAGAATCAGAATCAGAATCCGAATCATGTTTCCGTTTTTGAACATCCACCTTACAGCAGTCAATGTCCTCAATGACCAAAATGGAACGGTTTGTGGTAGACAGCAAAACCCTCTTCAAATGAGAGTCACTGCGAATGCTAGCAAGCTCCAAATCAAACACATCAAACTTGAGAAAATTAGCCATGGCCGCAATCAGGCTGGATTTTCCCGTGCCTGGGGGGCCATACAGCAAGTAGCCTCTTTTCCAAGCCTTGCCCACCTTCTTGTAAAACTCCCTCCTACTCACAAACCTCTCCAAATCCTCTACAATGGTTCTCTTGAGATCTGGCTCCAGCGCCATTGTCTCAAACGTGGCCGGGTGCTCCAGGTTTATGGATCCCCATTCAGTGTTGCCATCCTCAAAGACGTCCTCCCATGACAAGATATGACGTGTATAAATCTTGAGAACCTTTTCTTCTTGCTTCATGGCGGTTGCCTGGGCAAGCACGTGGGGCAAGTATGTTGAAAGTTAAACCAAGCAGGAATCCAAAGCTACTTTTGTAAGAGCATGCTGTCGGGTGGAATATTTTGTTTATTGGCTCAATGAGCTACTATTATTCTACCCATGCTGTCGGTTGTTGTCCCAATAGAACTTTTCTCTTTTGACTAAAAGCTTGTCTCTAAAAGAGACGGTGTCTCTAGTTTTGTAATGAGAATGTTGTAGTAAAAATACTATTATTATTGAATGTGAACTCATCAGACGGGTTAAGCCTTTCTTCCATATTCTCTCTGAGTTTCCAGCTTGAGTCTTCTTCCTTCTATTCTCTTCCGTGTCTGCGTGAGTTCATTGAGTGTTCATTGAGTAAGTGTTTTCTTGCTTGATTATCCTCTGGTTTTATCTGTGTGCTTGCTGTGGTGTTTGGTTGTTTGTTTGTGAGTTAGCTGCCGTGAGTTTTTTGATTTATTCTACATCTGGTATCAGAGCTGAGGCTCAAGAAGGATGGCAAACAGAAATGACTTTGTGCAGTGCCCTGTTGGTAAATTTTGTTAGAAATGTGCCCTAAGAGCCAATACATTTGATGTAATCTCCTTAGAATACATTTCGTATATGATATATATAAAGGGCAAACTTATTTTGTTATCTTTTACATCGTGTAAAGAAACAAATGTCCAGGGTATGCTAAATAAGAGATA